GGCCACTTCGACTTCTGACCATTCCCTTGTCAGCGTTAGAGCATACCTGAACTGCTGGTTAAGCAATGGCTTAGTTAGGGCCCCAAAATTACTAACCACGTGATATCCCAGATATGTCCAGATTTATCTGAACGCCCTTTAAAAGTTAGCGATCAAGGGCATTGGCCGATGATGGGTGTTTGCGCGCTCTTCCAGTTCTGAGAGCTTTTATCTTATGGATCTCGTTTTTTCGAATTTGTGTAAATTAAGAGAAGAGTGTCTTTTTAGATGTTTTTTTAACAATGAAAGTGTCTCCCAACTCAATTTCATAGATTATAGATGGTGTTAAGACAATGATTGAGCCTATAAGGCTCCTTCGTAATACTCTGTTTGTGTTTATAAATTTCAAACTTCTCCTATCGCAAAAGAAAAACTTTTCAATAATGAAGCTCGTTCTCTTCCCCGCTCCTAATTTCTAATTTTCACCCATCGTGGGATCTTCAAACTTGCATTCATTGTGACTGGAATCTGCAAACTATTAAAAGTGTGCGCATTCTATTCCTACATAGGTTACTCTTAGGTGGAATTAAAAGCTTCCACTTCTCATTTTCCTCCCGCCTCCGTGTAAAAATGCTCTGCTGATCAAGGACGAATTGAGAAGCATCAAGCCGAGTGCTCGCTGCGTATTGGCTGCGGAGGTACCTAAGAGAAGATGACTGAGACACGTTATCGTTTTTCAGTTCATGGCCGGCATTGGAGTCGGGTTTTGTTATTCAAAGTTTTCAAATGACCACTGTTGGAGTGGCTTGATCATGGAAGCGGGTGGATTACAGGCTCGCAAAAGTGGATCCCACTATGAAAGGAGTTATTCCTGCGTAGATTGTGATCTTAATGCGAGGATGAGAAAATGCAATGTGCTCAAAAATTTTTTCAAAAGAAGTCGATAGATCTTGTTAGATTCATAAGCGCATATTGGGTTAACCGCGATTGCATATCGCGCATTTTCGAGTGCTTGCTGACATACCTGTGGATGTTGTTCGGGAGCCCATCGGGTAGCCCGAAGTTGTGTCGGGCGCTTATCGGGTACTTATCGGCGCTCTCTCGGGATGGCCGTGACGGTGGTGATCGACGGTGCTCGATAATATCATTGAGTAGTAATACGGCAAAACATCACGTATCTTCACATCAAGTTATCAGCAAATTTACACTTCTTCTCAGCGATATCGACAACAAAATGTATTTAACACAAACCAACAAACCTGTTAATGTGTTATGATTATAAAAAAGATTTTGGCGTGTACCAAGTGAAAGAGGTAGACGAAGTGGAATATAGATTTGTTGGCACAGGTGACGTGACCGGCAGAGAGGGTTATCATCTATAATACAGTTGGGGGGGCTCCTTAATATACATGATAGAAGGCGGAGATTGCCCGGGTACAATGTACAAAGTAGACGAGGTATTGGGTTGAAAGGATTTGCCGCCGGTCGGCCGGCTACACTTTTGGTGCACAGATGCCATTCATTCTTGATACAATTCGGCCTATGAGAAATCCATATGAAAAATGGAGTGATTAGGTTGATGATATAGAAATCATCAACCAATGTCGACTATCTTGGCTTTCTTCTTCTTTGGAACAGAGTCAATCACGTTCGAAGAATGACACCTTTCAGAGGCTAGCAAATACTGGACATCATAGCAGGTAATGGTTTCTGAAGATAGAGGTAATTTAACGTGATATTGAAGAAATACACCTGCTTTACCTGGTGGGGCCTCTTGGATGAACTTATGGTAAATGTATGGCAAGGAATGAAGATCTTAGAACTTGCTAAAACTTTGATAGAAGCTATTTTGTAAGCTGCACAGAATCGTGTTCACTTTTTTCCATGGTCGCTACCGTTAAGTTACGATTTGGTAAAGGTATGAAATTCATCGATCTAGCGTTTTTTCTCCATTACTCGTAGTAAATCTTCATTTTTTTTTGAACGAAGTAAATTATTGATCACGACCCTATCCTATGTATTTTCTAAACAACGTCTTCTCCTACACTTTGAGTGCGCGTAACCCCACGCTTAACCCTCTTCTGACTGATCCGTTGTTTGTTTGAGCTGACGCATTTGCTGCATAGCCAATATCGCAAACTTTTTTCTAGGCCGGTAGTAATCTACCCTACCTGGTGGCGTCATAGATGTCCGAAGTTCGGCGGACCTGCATCAATATTGCCAATTCCGACTCAAGCGACCGCCGTAGAACACTGTTATCATATGCGCCTGAACTTTCAAGCTCGACTTTGAGCGCTGGCGCTATCCGATGAAAACATGTGCACCTTTCGCCTTTCGAAAATTAGTAGTAGGAAAGCAAAGGCAAGTAATTTGCGTAAGAGGGCATGATCAATACTGTGTAAGGTAAACTATGGATCTTGAAAGAACAGCTGATTGACACTGGCAAATGACACGCTAAATCGCTGCAAGCGGGTTACTAAAAGAAAGAAGACGAAAGAATACAGCAATTACGGATTCGTTAGCTAAGAAGTGAACTGTGTTATGCTGCCGCAAGACCCAAATCACGAACGCCGCCAGCACAGTGCCAGACATGATAGGGGCACATCAAGTTGCTGCTTTCCCTCTCAAAAAAGCACACCATTTCTCAAACTTTCCGGCAGCTCTCATCATGCAATTTTCGACAAAGTGACGGCACGTAAGCGGCAGGTCATTTCGCGAAGTTGTCAGCGGCGCTTACTGGCGTTTTATGTTTCTACTAGCCGGCATACCCGGCTCTGCCCGGCCTTGTCAAAAACGATAAAGGTTTCATTTCTATCCCTGTACACCTTTACCTGTGCCCACTTCCACATGCAATTCCCTATTTCCGCTGTGTTAGTAATCAGTATATCCACCTAACCTTCCTCACCAACCCCCAGTCCGTAGCTCAAACTTTGCAAAAAAAACAATAAAATCGATAAAAGTAAGGAGAATTCTAAAAACTGATGGCGTTATGCGGCTATCCGGGCCTTTTTTTGTGGTGGGTCTTGCTCAAACTCGGTATATGGGGGTTAATCAAGCCGCTGATGACGAATATCGTAGTCATTTTGCGTGGCAGCGGGTAAAAATCATGAACCTGTCTAAAACCTTGGCAGGAAATTACCTAAAATGCTGTTTTAAGAATATCGTGCTCAATCCCCACGATAAAAACAGTTCGTGCGGTGTAAAAGTTTCCCACGACCGCAATGCTTTTCTTATAGGACCACTGTCGCGCGCGATACACCCTTCGGCGGCTTTTGCCTAAGCAAAAAGGGAGAAAGAGATTTGCCGCGTGCGTTACGCGTTAGGACAGGTCATCAGGATGGCGCTGGAGACCGCCATGCAGAACGACCGTTTCCTCACTTCGTGAATATCTGGGATCTAAGTTGGCCCCAAGCGAAAAAATGTTCATTCAAACCCTGCAACTCACCATAACTTCACAATAATGTTGTAACAGCGGGCAAGCATCATATTCATAAGCTGTGTGCTTGTGAACCGTTAAGGTAAGAAGCAAATCTGGAACTTCGACCCACCTAGTGTACATCCACAGTAACACAAGAAAATGCGCTATATTCGAAATCAGCATGATATTCATGTTCAGCGCGCTAAATGACCGCCATAAATGAAGTTTAAAGCAAATCTATCATCGGTTTCCAGGTTCATGTGGAGGTGGAGTCTTGCCAACTTAACGCGTGCCGGTTTTTGCTAGCGATGGAGTACCAAAAGCAATGCTATGACTTCTAGGTTCAACAACTTTACCTGTATCATCAGGCAAAGTCTGTAATACACCTCCACACGAATCTGAAAACCGATCATATGTTTTCGATCCCAACCGTATAACCACCACAACTCTATGAAAAAGTCCCAATATGCAGAGAGAGTACGAAATTCGTAATCAGCATGTCGAATAAGTTCTCTGAACCGAACTCCAGCCGAATTCATACTGAATTCCTACCGTACACTTACCGTAACCACACGGGGAAACGTTCTGCGGAGAAAGTGTGATATCTGTAATCAGCATGTAGACAACCCTTATACACGAAGTTTGAGCAAGCTCTACGACAAAAAAATTTTGTGACCCGGATAGCCGAATATCGCCAAACTAATATTGTAATCGTAACCAGCATGCTCGATTACCCCATTGTGCCAACTCCCAGCCCAGTAGCTCAAACTTTGCGAAAAATCGATAAAATCGATGAAAATAATGGACGATTGCAAAGACTAATATTGTATTCGGAATGCACATGCTCGATTACCCCCCTGTGCAAACTCCCAGCCCAGTAGCTCAAACTTAACAAAAAAATCGATAAAATCGATGAAAATAATGGACGATTGCAAAAACTAATATTGTATTCGGAATGCACATGCTCGATTACCCCATTGCGCCAACTCCCAGCCCAGTAGCTCAAACTTTGGAAAAAAATCGATAAAATCGATAAAAGTAATCGATAATCCCGAAAACTAATATTGTATTCGGAATCCCCATGCTCGATTCCCCCCCCCCCCCCTGTGCCAACTCCCAGCCCCGTAGGTGAACTCTGCAAAAAATCGATAAAAATCGATAAAATCGATATCGATCGATGACGAAAAGTAGCCTATGACATCTGCCGGGGCCCGAAGTGTGTGTGTGCCAAGTTTGGTCCGGATCGGTTCAGAAATGGAATTTTCTGTTCGGAACATACATACATACATACATACATACATACATACATACATACATACATACATACATACATACATACATACATGCATGCATGCATACATACATACATACAAACAGACATCCAGCTTTATATATAAGATAGGACGGTTGTTGAAATCTCAAGTTGCGATATAGGTTCCTTCCAACACGCTATGGCGTCCTCAACGCGGTATATGGTGTAAAAACGGTTTTTGCGGGTTGATTGTGTGATCCTAGCTTTTGCCGACCTTACTGCCATCAATTCTGGGAGATTAGTGCCAGCCCCGGTTTTCGCGTTTGCCTACATCGCGACTCTGCACTCTAGATTTCACTACTTCTCCATTTACGACTTGGATGGAAATAGGAAATTGGACGGTCTAGAGATTATGAAGTCGATGTTTCATGACCACGATCAAGCAAAATGTAAGTTGATATACGTCATTTAACAGTCGCACAAGAGGAGGTACCTCACTTGCAGTAAATAGTGGTTTCGAAAGCGTTGGCGTAATTTTTTTTTTTTGAGTGCGCGTTTTCACCTGAATATAGTCACTTCGCGGTCTTATTTTTAGATATTTTGTTCGAAGATCTTTGCAGTTTTAAAAAATTCTGAATTCTCGAAAAATTTTTGCAATGCTGAGATGCGTGCCTCTACAAGGAGATGTAATTTTTTTCTTGAAGCTTTTGGACAGTGAGCTTAACAACCACTTGCAGTGCCAACGATGAAAGATGAAGAGATCGAAAAAATGGTCGACGCCGCTTTAGAAGATTTTGACATAAATGGCAATGGTTTTATTGAGTATTCAGAATATCGCGCCAAAATGCTGGAGTGAAGAGAGGTGTTGTTTTGATGAAGTTTGTTGTTTATCATGTGATTTCCAATTCACAGGAGTATTCCGTAATGGTAATTTAACTAATGAAAATACGAAAAAGTGAGTAAACTACACAATTTGTAATCATGTTCTTGCTTAGGAAACAATCGGGATGCCAGCTAATCCTTCAGCTAATCCAGTTTTGTTAGCGAGTCAAACGCTGGCCAAAATACATCCTAAATTTATTGCAGTAGAATCGATGCAAGAAACGATAATTTTTGCGCGTCCAGATTTCAGCTTTAGATTATTTATGCAGTCTCTTCTCCTCACAAAATCAAGAAATTGTTAATGCAAACATAATGAAATTTGCCTCAAAACTGGATTGGTTTTGTTATCACTTAAAACAAATACCCATCCTCACTTCGTGCTTACCACGCCTCCAGTCTTTGTTGAAAAAACTACAACCCATGCAAAGATTCCGTTTGCCTACCGCATTCACTTTTGATAATATAAAATCAAAACAGGACAGAGATAACTCGGAAAAAGCATAGCCTTGTAAGTTACTCATTCTCATGTCGACTAACTAGTAGCACGAAAAGTCTATCGAAATAAACGATTTCGCAGCTAGCAAACACGGACTGACATGGAATTAATATCTAGAATGGGTATCAAAATGTACATCTCATATCAAGTTACGGTTAGAAGTGCTCTCCTAATGAGCCAAAAATTAACCTAACAGAAAGTACCATAAGAGCAGGAAAAAATGGCACTTGGATGAGATAAACGAAGTAGAGAAGAAGTTCAACTGTTCCGCGGATGTAAGACAGCTCTACTTCTTCTAGATAGTCGTTACGATGAGGCAAACCTTAGTGTACTATAAAACTGTGGCCATTTGAAGATAAAGCTTCTGGAATTTTACCAAAAAGAGGGTAGTGGAAAAGAACTAGCCAACCGGTATAACCAAAACAAATACTGTGCAAATACCAAACTAAACTAGAAGTTTACTGGCAGATAAAAATGATCAATGTAGGACTTTTCGACTTAGTTCTCAGAGAGTGTTCAAAATTCAAGCAAACGTGTGTACGTGGCTCGAAAGGTAACCCATGTTTACAGAAATTGTAGGAGAAAGCTCTTTTTCAGTATGAAATTACGCGGTACATTCAGAAGAAACCCAATGATAGAAAATTCTTGTAATATAAACGCAGTTCTCAAAACCTCGCCTGCTCCTGCAAAACATAACTTGAGATGACAATAAGATTTTGTCATATAAGTCTAGTACATTTCTCTGAATACATTCGACACATTCAAATTCAAACTGCATGAGTGGATAAGGGATCAGAATGGAGACTAGCATTCACCACTGCTATTGATTAGTTCAATTCACACCTATTGTACTACAACGTTGCGAACAAAATGTAACGCTCATTTCCAATTTACATCCTCAGTCATGCTCAGCTACGCCTTGTTATCGGTGATTCTGCTGTTTTCCGGTAAGCACATTGAAGTGATTTTTCAGATTAAGCCTCTTGAAATTTAAGGAAATCATGATGTCGCCAATGCCAAAAAAGCAAAAGATGACAAAGGTCGAAAATTCGCTCAGAAAGAAGAAGTTTATGACACGGAGTAAGCGCAGACAATGAGCCTTACTTATCATTGTTTGATTGCTGTTCAGACATTTGAAGGAGCATTTAAAACACAGGATTGATGTTGGTGCTAAAGATTTAAGTGAGGAACAACAGAGGTGAGAGCACATTTTCATTTCTTTGTTGAAAAACTACTTATAAGCCTTTTTTATAAGTAATCAGGCTCAAACGGTACTCATAACCAAACTCATACATGTGCAGTTTGAGCTTCTGGAGACTATCCGCCACCAACATGTTAACTAACAATAAGTATTTACCTTGTTCAACCACGTTTTGCAACTAATTCCGTAATTATTCTTTTTTATGTGGTTCGGTCGTTTTTGGACACTGAATAGATTAAGATGTGAGCTAGAGGTGTGCGAAATTGTCTGACTTTCAGTAACGTAGTTAAGATTTATGGCATTTGAAAGCTAGTGAAATTCGAAATTTTACTGCGACAAAAACAGAAAACAAGCGTTAGCAAGCTAAAGTGAACACATCAGCCTGAAACTGTACATGAATAGCTATGCTTGCATATAGCAAATTCTCTTGTGCAGTTTCGGCTTGTTGTTTGTTTAACAGTCATGAAGCTTCATTTTTGTTTTTATTTAGTTCATCCCGTATCTGACCAGCTCTTAGAAACTGCGTAATTTTTTCTCTACGTTTCAAGAAAAGCTGAATAGTTTGCGCTTATGTGTAGCTGATTCTATAATCTGTAAAGTGCCAAAGAATAAGCGCGTTACATCTAAAAAGGAAAAATCACGCTGTATTTTACTGCTCCGGAAGTTCCGCCACAGTCCCAGCACACGCCCGAACTGTGACAGAGCGAATGAACTGTACTGCATGTACTGCAGCCGCCATGCGTAATGAGCTGCGGGAGATAAAATCCTGAGCGCTCTTAGCGGTTCTTCGTCGTTTTGAAACGTTTGATCCCATTCTTCTACTTCCCTTTTCTCGCGATAAGAAAAGTTGCGAGTTTGAAGCGAGGTTGAAGAAAGAATGGTATTCTGTTCCAGCGTCGGTAAGAGGTGTCTTTACGAGCGTATCCCCAGAAGTGGCTCCTGGGAGCGCAACGAGTATGTTTGAATGTAAGTAAGGAGAAAAGGAGCGCAAGAAGACACGTCTTCTACGGATGTCTGAGCTCGACACCATTCATATTCCTCCCTCCCCCCCCCCCCCTTCAAACTCGAAGTAGTTCTCATTGCAGGGAAAAGAGGGGCAGAAAAGAGGTCAAATGTCTGTGCGAAGAGCAAAAGCTTTGTAAAAATGCAATGAATTACAAGGATTTTCATACCAGCCTATTTGCATGTAGGAGAACCGTCATACGAATACACTTTACATTGATTCTATTGACGATTCATGTACAACAACGTGACTGACAACAGTGGTAGCTCCGGATATACCCGTACACTACAACGTGACTGACAACAGTGGTAGCCCGGATATACCCGTACACTATCTCCTCCATCGTTTATAGTTGAGTACAAAATCACTTACTAATAGTGGCACTCAATCACCAGAGGTTGCTAACTGTCGGTACTCCCTTTCAAATGTAAACCTCTCACACAATTTGGTTGTGCGCGGGTCAGCTCCGGCTTGCTGCCTATACTAAGGAGCCCCTCCCACACGCTCCCCCTTGCTTTGGATTTATTAAGATTTTAGATTTACTTTCGGATTATCGCCGGATTCGTCCTCGTGGACAAATCACAACTCCTCTCCGTTAAAAGTCACTTTGTTCCCATTGAAGATTTAGAAGCTTGGATGATGAATAGCATAATTTGAATGAAGAATGAAGGGAGAGAAAAAAATGGAAACAGAGATGAAGCGCATTAAGATTGCCTTCTGCAGCTACCTGAGCTCTAGAAGCATGGGATACATTATGCATAGCGACGATAGAACAAGCAAACCGCAAGAGCTGACCGATTATACAATAGTCGAAGATTACTACGACCGGCAAAGTGGAAGAGATGCAGGAAACTGCTGTCACAATGTTTAAATCGACAACTTTTAAGTTCGCATATTCACCTCAATCCATATGTTTATAAATCTTATTTTGTAGTGAAGGCTTCCATCTGCATGTGGCCTAGGCATTCAAAAGAGGTGGTTTCTTTGATTTGTGTGCTCCTAATTCGAACGGTATCGGCTGCCCAGACCTCAAGTTTACCAAAGTTACTAACTTTAGTAACTTCATCAACGCCTTCAAATATCGGAAGCTTTTACGACAAAATAAGCAGCAGAATAACTGCAGCTTTGCTAAAGTGGAGAGTTCTCAGTGAATTGCTATGTGCGATAAAAGAATTTTTCGCAACCCGAAGTCTCAAATCTACCATATGTACATCAGCGGCTTTTTACGGTAGCAAATGCTGACTGTGCACATGCAGCAAAACGAAACTCGGGCTAACAAAAGCAAGAATGCTGAGATGCGCGGGCATCACAGTGATAGACCACGTCTCAAACGATACCATACGAAATATAAAGAAGGTAGGCCTCAGTTACGGGAAAAATATAAGAGAAGCGTCCCCGATGGTGTGGAACGCTGAGCGGAAGAGAAGAGGAGAAACTACATGGTCGGCTCTACCATGGATGTCTCAAGAAGAAGATCAAAGGGCCTTAAGCTAACATCAAGGTGGATGAACAAAATTAACGCAGATCTATCTTGAATTTTGATTTCCAATTTTCTTTGATCTTTTAGCTTTGAACTTAACGTAAAAATAGAGTTCCTTTAGCTCAATTCTATGTATTACTGCTACTGCTGCTCACCACTTTTTCCTACTGATGAGCATCGGGAGTGGTCTACATTATACTCTAACCTGCATAGGGGTGAAGGCGAAATGGGCTGTATAGTGCTCAAACGTTGTATATACTCACTAACTGAACTTACTTTGTACGAATATCAAGCAAAATAAAAGATATTATGGAAAAGACTTACAAGAGTAGCAGATCCCAACAAATGGGAAATATGCAAGAATAATAAACAGGTATTGTGTGTTTAACAAGTCAGATGTCTAGAACGAACTTCTTTGCAATTTCACTAGTCTCCAATGGTCCTAAATATCCTTCGAACTTTTAGATTCCACTATTTCTCCATCAATGACTTGAACAAAGATAACAGATTGGATGGAACGGAGGTAGCGAAGACAATGTACCACAGACATGAGAAAGCAGAGAGTAAGTGCATGTAGTTTTGATTTAGTTATATGTCCACCATTTGAAAAGGCTCTGTTACAGCGCCAATCTTCAGTGACGATGAGATTGAAGAAATGGTTGACCCTATCTTAAAAAATTTCGATGTCAATGGCGACGGATTCATCGACTTTGCAGAGTATCGAGCCAAAACAGAGATGTAATCAGACAGCTAACAATTTATTCATCGCTTGCATTGCATCAATATTCGCACGTAGTTCTGAATTATGCGGAGGTTATACTGCAGCGCTTTTGAATCTCGCCGCAGATTCGGTACTCGACAAAATTTGTAGAATAGAACCTTCAGCTGCTCACGCGCTGTGCAAGTCAAGTGGCGCGATATTTGGCTGTCTGTACTAGGCTGACTTCAAAAGAACGTATAGGCTGTGTCATGAGGGTGTCAAAGTTTGAGACCGGCCGCCTCGCTCGCACTTGCGTCGCGTTCGCAAACATGACCTCTAAGCTTTTGCCGGACTCCAGCCGGTCGCTGTTTTGAATGAAAAAAACGCCAAAGGAAACTTCCGCCACGACGCAAGGCTTGAGCGAGGCCATCTCAATTATAAAAGCCGCTGCAGCCGCGACTACCTCTCAAACAACAATGTACCCTTTCTCTCATTTATCTCGCCTGGACCCTGCGCCGCATTTGCGAACGTATCGTCCGATTATTTTCCCACGCCTGAGCGAGGGAAAGGGCTCTGGAATGAGTTCTAATCGCTAATCAAGCTTGGGAATTTGGACAGAGAACGTTCGCAAACGCGTTGCAAGCCCAAGCGAAACAACACTGCGGGACCCAAGCCGCTCGAATCGGAATCCGAGACATAAGGTATTGTTTTTGCTTTTTGATATCGCAAAGATATGAAATTCTTCAAGTTATTTGATATTGATAAGAGCGATATGGAGAAGCCAAAAATGTACCGATAACAATTTTTTAAGAACTGAATCGCTTACTCAGCAAAAGCTATTACACAGCATGGTTCTAACAAGTCGAAAGCGTTTCATTGTAATCTTTATCGATTAGATTGACAAAAGTTTTGCTGTAATAGAAGCAGAAAATGTGCTATCTGACTAACTTGCACTGTTAACCACATAGAACTTTTCGCGCATATTGATGCAAACAGGCAGCAGTCAATCACTCATGGTATGTATGTTTATGTCTCTAGTTGCTGATTATATTCCTTTTGTAATTTGTTGCCTTGCAATCTCTGTAACTTTCTAATGACTGAAAAGTGGCTAGCCGTTATCATTCGCAGGTAAAAGGCCAAATGCATACTAAATAGCTTCGTGTAGAACGCCATCTTCTAGAAAAGCGTTGTGTAAATGGCGTAAAGAAAATACCCGGGCACTTGCAAAAATTTTTTTCAATTTGCTGTAACTTCAAGCAAGCCGGTCTCGCGAGCTGTAAATTCTGCTGCAAAGGTATTGTCGTCTACAAGGTACACACCTATTTTGTTGGGTTCTCAGCACTTCATTTTGGGACACCAGCATGCGCAGTAAAAAAAGGTCGACTTAAAATTCACCCTGTTAATGCACGAATCTTAGGCGCGAAGGGAGGGGCTGAGCTTATCCCCGTTAGTTATGTAGAGCTCTGCTGGGGCTGTTTACAGATTTTGTCACAATTTTGAAGCACAGTCTGTAAAAAATTTCTTTCGAAAAAATTAAAAATATCGGCCTTTTTTGCATCCTGAGATTGTCATTTTTTGAGTCAATCAGTTCTAAGTCTTCCCTTTTACGGAGAGAATCTCTTTAACAGTTGCAAATATTGTTGAAGTAATGTCTTGCACATCTCTTGGGCCCATCACCGAAGCATGACGTTCCTTACAAATCAAGCCGAGTGCGAAAACAGTACGGTCAAAGGCAAATTTGAGGGGTAGTAATTTTTGTGAGCGTATTGCAAAATCCGAGCACAGCTGCGATTTTGAAGTGGACAGCCCCTTATTTAGGGTGGCCAACTCTGAAATGATTTTCTTTGTTCACTGCGAAAAAATGGCAGCAAAAAGAAAATTTGTGAAATTTTTACCGTTGCACAAGCTTCCCTTTTTGGTGTGTAAGTCAAATACGGTTTGACATCATTGAAAACTGAAGGCGAATGTAAAAAGCTTATTATTTCTTCCACAGAAGCATATGAAATATTTGTCGTTGAGGTTCAACCGAGCGAATAAGATGAGTCTGAAATGAAATTTTCAAATTTTCCCGGGAACTTTCTTTGCACCTTAATACTTCACATTCAACGAATGTGGAAAGATCTTTCATGAGGAATACAAGTCGATTTTGTTCACTTAATAAATCTTTCTAGTTGCGATGAACATAAAGTACATACATGATATTGAAGGAAACCGTCAACAAGGGTAATACCTAAAATTTGAACAGCAGCTGTTGGAGTTACATGCATATTGTTTGCAATAGTGTACAACCCACCGTTTTTGCCCATTTCATTCTCAACGGTTTCCAATCAAATAAAAGCTCTTTTCATTTTCCTCATTGTTTCTGGTATCAGTGCTTTTTCCGAGAAAGTATGTGGATTTGCGCTACTCAAATCACATACGGCTTTAGAACATATGCGTAGCCTTAATTTATTTTCGTTGCACATTTTCAAACTGAATGATAGATTGGCACATAAGTTCTGCAACTTCCTTCGTAACCTTTTTTGATGTAGCGCTCTTTTGGCATTATACAAGTTGTGACCTTAAGCTACATTGTGCAAACCGTTTGCTTTCTGGTAACATGATTGTTTGGATTTTCTACCGTACCATCAAACTGATTGCAGTGTAATAGCTTATGTCACAAACTTCGGATTAAAATGTTGAAGTTTGAGGCTTTACGGTTTTTGAGCAAAAATGAAACCTTGCATGATGAGTCAAACACACCAAGACGAATTTTAAGCAGCATGTTGCTAAAGGCTAACTTATTCTCACAGTTAACATATCCTATGTAGCGGCAACTTATGCTTTATGGAGTCTCGGGGCTCACGAATATCGTCGGCGGGCTAAAACCGTGCACAGGCTATAGATGATTCATCTGCGTCCATATAAACATTACCCCGAGTTTACGTAATTGGTGCAAATAGCGTTGGCATCATCGAGTTGCTTGAAAGATGATGCCTATAACTAGAAAGTTACCGATCAAAATCCATTTATAGGGCCGCTATAAAGCCCCGATAGTGCTCCCAAAGTCGTCATAACGTGAAGAACGCGTGATTGCGACCGGTCCAAATAAGTCGTATGCAAAGTACAGCCGTGCATTGACCGCCGCATGCGCGCTCGCCCGACGACGTACTCGCAATGATTAATGCGAGCAGCACACGCAGCCACTCCGCATTAGTCCTGCACATAGCTCAGGCGATTTCGTCGCGACGCAACCTCTAAATTGGACAAGTGTTCCAAGCCGAGGTGTTAGACGTGTGGGTCCGACGCATTTGTGATGGCTTTCGGCGCGACGCTGCTACATACTAATGCATAGCTCACTTGTCTAGATCGTCGCAATTTTGCCGAATGTGGTGTCGCGTCGACCATCTGCGTCAAGCGAGGGGGTGACCGTCGCGCCAATTGTGAACAGCATTTTCGATCTAAATCATGTATTTTGTTGTTCGTGAGAGTTTAGCTGTTTTTTTTTGGGCAAAGCCATCATTTTTTGAATATCTGCAAGGTAACATATGCAAAGCATCTATATTTGTTGTGCGTCTTTTTTGCAGTGAACTTTCACTCCCGAGAAAAAAACGTTGCTGTTCCGGCACATTTGTCTGCATCGACAACTCAATAAGGCGATATTGATCGTAGAGCTTTCACTGGAGGTTGATTTCAGTTAAAAAAAGCGAATGCCATCCCAAAAAGTAATCACCATCATCCTGGAATGATATCCACGAAAGTCCCCGCGAAATGGGCTTTTCGTGCGAATAAAATGGACTTAGTCCGTGCGGTGCGATAAGATATCGCATTCGCGAATCCATTCACTCCATACAAAAATGCTTTGACAAACCTTTCTCCAACTTGTCTCAACCGGTTTGCTCACTCTTCCAAACTCACTTCCATCAAGTGGTCGATATTTGACTAGGCTGACCTAACATTACAATATCAGTTACGTTGATTTCTTTTCTTTCCCACTTCGTTACACCCCTCAAAGTGCCATTTATTATCGATAACTATGCATCTAAATTACTCCCAAGACTAAAATTCATGTAAAATCCGGGCCTTCGCTTTTCAAGACTTCTATAAATCTGCATTGAATTAAATTCGTAAGTAGAGCTTTGTGCAGAAGGCAAACTTTGGCTGGACTTGCACTGTAATCTGTGAATTAAAATGCTTATTAGGAAACCTACTACACTACAACCCAAAGAGTTTTTTTTTAATTTTGAAAAACTATGAATTTGCAAAAGACTTCGCAAATGTACTACTTTAGCTCTTCTTTGTCTTTCAGCACTAATGTTTATATCTCTAAGTAGTTAAATGTACGGACCATTGCTAAAGAAATTTTTCACAATTTTTCTTGCTAGCTAGCGGCACTTCATTAATTCTTGCGACCAAACTTAAAATCGCGTTTGAAATGCCGTCGTTGAGGTTCGGTTTCACGAGAATAGTCAAAAGATAGCTTCTGAGTAAGTGTATTGAGACGCAAATCTTTTTTTACTTTCAAACACAAATCATAATTTTAATTTTGGTTGACTTTAAAGAGTTAACAAACTTTATTCGATTTACATGATAATATTCGCATCGACCTAATATGCAAAAGCATTTGAGCTTGTTAACGAATATTTTGGTGAATTTCACCTCCTTCCATGAGTTTTACAGCATTCATACGAGTTTAGAAGGAAACACTTATTTCAGACTTTACAAAAGACATGAAACTTTTTCCACTCTCTTGTTACTTCAAAATAGGCTAAGGAACACATTCTCAAAAAATCGCAACCAAAAATATGCAAAAAGGTCAAAAATGGACTTAGTCCCCGCTCACCTTGCTACTGGGAGTAAAAAGGGCTTTCAAGTCCATTTAAAATGGAGGTAAATCCCATTTTGCCTCATTCCAAATGGACTTTTGACGTCATCTTTCGCAAGCGAGAGCTCAGGTAGGGTTGAATCATTTTCATTTCACCGCATTGCCTCGAGGTTGCGATAAGATGAAAATTTTTGAATAACGCGAGCGAAAGCAGATTCCGACCACTCTTCACCGCGAA